ATTTCAGCAATCACATTATATAATTCTTCAAATGCGACAAATATCAAGAAATGCATCATAATTTGCTTACTTGAAGCTTTGAGGGTATCAATTTTCCAAGACTAGAGTGGAAAAGAGCATGATCTTGCAGCTTATACATTACCCCATCAACGCAACAAGTACAGTAAAATAATTTTTCATCGTTAACTTGAACCGCATCGCCAATCCATTGAACAGCATTCAAGCCATCTGTAGACAATCCAGAATGGTCTAAAGCCCTACCACTAGCTACAGAACTTTCACAAGTATTTGCCTGTGCACCTCCTTGGTCATCCCGTTTGATGTCGTATCTTAAAGAATAGTCAGGATTTCCTCCTGAGTGAGAAATATCTGGGTCTTTCAAAGCATGATTATGGTCATCGCATTTCTTTGATGGAACTTCCACACAGTTTGGCAGCGCTGCTCCATCCACAACTTGTGGGTTGGAAGAGGGCTGGGAATTATCAAACTTATCAGTATCTTTGTTAGATGAATCAGCTGGAGGCTCTGCTTTTGATTCAGAAGGTCTCTCATCAGATCTAGATGATTCAGAAGTATCTTTTGGTTGAGATAATCGTTCACTTGACGAGCAACTTCCAGAAAAAGGTCTCTCATCCATATTTTTATTGCTCGATGGGAAATTATTTTGTTGACACTCTTTTGCATTTGAAATCTTCGAACAGTTTGGCAGCGCTGCACTGTCCACAACTTGTGGGTTGGAAGAGGGTTGGGAATGATCAGACTCATCAGTATCTTTGTTAGATGAATCAGCAGGAGGCTCTGCTTTTGATTCAGAAGGTCTCTCATCAGATCTAGATGATTCAGAAGTATCTTTTGGTTGAGATAACCGTTCACTTGATGAGAAACTTCCAGAAAAAGGTCTCTCGTCCATATTTTTATTGCTCGATGGGAAATTATTTTGTTCAAACTCTTTAGCATTTGAAATCTTCGGATCCAATGCTGACTCAACATGGTTGCTGCCTCCACTACCAATATGAGCAGGATTTTGGAAAGCAGAGCTCCCGTTTGCAGTTATCTTCTGCTGATTGACCTTGGGATCCAAGGCACCCAGTTTATTCTCCGAGGACATTTGAATTCCAGCTGTGTTGGAAGGGATTTTTACTTGTATGTTACTTCTCATCACACGTCCATATTTAGGAGGCAAAGGCTTTCCATTGCTTAGCGACAAGCACCTCATGCAGTGCCACTCACCTCTAGGAATTCCTCTCTGATTAGCTGACTGTGCACACATTATGTGATATCCTCTCTCGCATGCATCACAAATAAGAACACCTTCTACCTCAGTGATGGTAATCTGGCAACTTTGGCAAGTCAAAGCCTTGCTCATGTAATCCCTTGATGGAGGAATCCATGTAGGATGCTCAGGAGGCTGTGGTTGTAATAATTTCTGAATAATTTTCGCAATCTCATTGTGATTATTAGGAAGTGAAGGAGCTTGAACAAAGTGCATCTGTTGCAAAGGCTGCTGTACACCAGGTAAATTTCCAGAAGCTGTTTGTGATACAAATGGCCTGATATTCTGATCTCGTGCTGCTACAGGAGTCATCTGTGGCATACTCATACCAGCATTTCCTTCAGCTTTGATAGAAGTATGATTTGGCACCTTGTATTCCGTTCCACTTTTAGCAGATTGAGTTTGCACTGACCAAGTTGGAGCATTCACTGGTGGATGATTTGCAGAAGAATTTGCTGCACGTGCACAAAGTATAGTCTAAATACTTAAATATACAGAGAAGAGATAGAACAATAATAATAAAATAAGCATATGCCAAAGAAAGACACCTTCCTATAAAAGTAAAGTCAAAGAACATCAGTTACCTTGTACTTGAAATGCAAAAGAAGGCCCATTTGGTCCTCCATCTGATCTGAACTGTGCTCTTTCAACTCTAGGCAAGGCAGGGGAAGAAGAATCCCTTCCTAGATGACTGCTAGGCAAACCACTAGAAACCATGGATGCTCTAACTTCATTGGTGGGCAACTGATACTGTGCAGATGTAGGAGTTACTGTAGATACATGAACCACAGAAGAAGACACTGGGAAACCTCCGGAGATCGGTGCATGACTTGGTTTGTCTGTTGGAATCATACGAACAGTATGTGACATCCCATGGGTTTCAGCTGCTGCATTGAAGTTTGTTTTTAATGGGGGAGATGGATATGTAGCAGGTTGTGCAGAGTATTTCTTGGATTCTTCCATCTAGAAAAAGAATTTCGAGTTCAGAAAACATCAGTTTACAGTCCAAAAAATCCTAATTTGATAGTTCAGAATTGAAGTAAAATAGCATTAGCCATCCAATTTCAAAGACAACTTCTTGGTCACAAGACTTTAACTTCCCAATGAGTCAATAATTTATACACTAGCATAACCACGTACATCCTCATAGTGATCTGAATAAAAGTGAAAGATTTTACAATTACCAAAGAGTATGACTATGCAGTTTACTGCATATATGTCGCTCGTTAAAGTAACCAACAAGCCCAACATCCTCAAAACAACTAAGCTGAACAGTTGCTTTGTTAGTCCCAATCCTAGTGACGGGGGAAGTCATGAATCGGAGAAGTTAGGAATAGCTACTTCCTTAGTCAATCTAATTCGTGGTTTTCAGGTATTGAATTACGTGTTTTAATGTGAAATCCACAGAAAAGTCAAGAATTAGACTAATTCCTATATACCCAGTCTTGATAAGTAAACAAAAAGTAATGCGCAATTAAGAAACGATAACCAAAAATACCTTCTCCCATAATTTCTCCTAAACCAGACAAATATCCCTTATTTGCATACCACATTAAAACACCAAAGTATATGAATTATATTACTATCATCCCATTACCTACATTTGAAATTCAAAGTCAAAAGTTTCTTTCTTTCTTCATTTGTCCAACACTTTCCCATCAATCACACAAGAAGGCATACCAATTAAAAGCTAACAGAACAACACCCTGCCAGGAAACAAACTAAACCCTACCCAAGAATCTCCAAGAACCATATCCAATCACAAAAAAGACTCTTTACCTTCTTCTTTGTCAGCGAAAACTTCTCAGCGATGGTCAACTTGGTACCCCGAAACCCTAATCTCTGTTCCTTAAGCTTGCCATTAAGCCCCAAATCCTCAATGACAGCTCCAATTGCATCCCTAGCCACAATATCCTTAGGCGCCAAGCCTTCACATAGCTCCACCAGCTTCGACCTAGCTTCCCCCATAAGTCCAATCTCGGGCTCCGTGGGCTTCTTCCCTCCTCGAATCTTGGCCATTGTCGACAAGACCAACACAATCTCAGCCACTCTCCTGAGGTCCTTCTCCGAATTGGGTCCCAATCTGGGCTTCTTGTTGAATTGGGTCCCCAATTCTCCTTCAGCTCCATTCTGAATCGGCCTCTTTTCCGCGACTGAAACCGCAGGCGGCTCGGTAGCTTCGGCGTTCAAGGTCGGATCCATGATTGAAGGGGCGAGCGAGCGAAGCCTATGAACGACGCCGTTTTGGGGGTAGAGGAGACAGAGAGAGGACGCGAGAGAGAAACCCTAGAGAGAGAGAGACGGAGAGATGGAGAGGTTTAGCCGTTGGGGTTTGGGGATTTGAAAAGATGAAAACTTTGTGTGGGAGAATAAAGCTTTTTGGCGGGTAAATTTGAGGGAGGGGAGAGTGGGTTTTGTGTAAGTGATTAAAATTGATAATATGGTGAGTGAGTTTGTGATTTTGTGAGCGAGTCAGAGAGAGAGAGAAGAGAGAGAGAAGGAAATAGGGGAATGGGTTCAAATTCAATGGGGGTGGTCGAGAGCAGAGCGAAATTTAGAGAGAGACAATAAGAACGAGGGCTTTTTCGTCTTTGGATTGGTCCTTTTGGATGCTCCGGTTTGGATATATAAAACCGGTTCGCTTATTTTGAACCGGTTATAATTAGAAACGGCTTTGGACCGTTCAATCTAATCAAGATTCAAAGCTAAATACATACCATCTATGCTTTTATTTTCCTGGATTGTCAACCAATTTTTATAAACTTCCAATTATACCCTTACTCACATTAAAATTTTAAAAGAAAATAACTAAAACTAATAAGATGAGGGTAAAACAAAAATCATGTATGGCATTGGAAAAACTAAAATTAAATTTAAAAAATGTTCTCACGTTTGGAAAGAAATTTCATCATCATCAACCTTATTGATTAAAAAAAATCTAGTCAACTTTGAACAATTTTAGTAATAAATTCACAAATTAAGGTTGATATAATACGGGAGATGTTAATTGCATGTTAAAAAAAAAAAAAAAAAGTCACCGTGCACTCATGCACCTCTTACAAAAACACTAGTCTCTCCTCACAGGTACGTGTCATAGGAATTTTTTTAATTACACATGCTAAGCTCGTCTTAAAAATTGTTGGTGTCTTTTGCAATTGTATTTGTCAAGAAAAATGGTTAGCTTTTGCAAGTGCAAAAGGTTTTTTCTTTTAATCACACACACTACGCTTGTTCTAAATTTCTTTTCATTGTTCGGGAATGACTATAGTACCACAAAGTGCATTAGCAAATATTTTGAAGCAAAATTATCACAACTTTACATATAAAATCAGATTAGGTATACAATACGAATATATCCATTTGCTGTGAATTCCTAGCCTTTATGTTTAGAAGTTTGTGTATCTATCCCCATTTTGTTAAATCTAAATCATAGTCAACCACTTAAGGCATATCACATCATTTGTTTTTAAACAAAAAACAAAACTCATGTTAACTTTTTTTATTTATTTATGCCAAAGTTAGGAAGAGAAAGGGTGGAACTTACACACTTGGGTTCCATGGGGAATTGAACCCAAGATCACTTCGGGGCACACGAAAGATCTGGGCTAATCCAACTAACACCCCATTGGTAACTCACATTAACATAGATTTCCATTGATAATTTAACAAAAACCCATCTATCTATATTTTTATATATATATAATAAAAAATGCCAAAAATATGCATGGCACTTCAAAAGCTTTCTTCTATACCAAAAAAATTCAGAAGCGTATACAATTGGAGCCCATATTTTGGAGAAAGAAAGAGCCTATATAAGCATAACTCCGCACAAAAAACAGAAAAATTGGTTGTTCATACTTACATTTGTGTATATAAAATATTAAACAAAAGAGACTAAACCTTTTAACAACCAATATAAACTCTAGGGTTTATATACAAACAATGATTGAACACAAAAGAAAAAAGAAATTCAACGATTGAAAACAAAATCCACGTGAAGAAGATTTCTCTCCCTCAACCTCATTTGTTTCAGCTTGCTCACATTTTCATGGCTCTCCGTTGCCATTTGACCTAATTGACAAAACCCAATATAGATTAGCTAAAATTATAAAACAGTAAGGACTAGTATGTACTTGTGTAAAATATCATGAATGAGACTAAACAAAGATTAAGATGATGATTATATTAATAATGCATATGAAACTTGCGGCCTAGGCCATGGTTTTGTTAACAGTTGACAAGAAAAGCATTCTATATGTACTAACCGAAGTCTTCTTCGAGCTCGTCTTAGGTCGATTTCTAAGCGAAACGAGGCTATCCAAGTAAACCGTGAGACAACTACCAGTGTTTTCAACTCCGCAAATTGACAGATCCCGAGAGCTTTCATCATCAAAACTGTACATAACCAACCTGTCATCAAACACCATCAAGTCATGAGATTTGGTGTAGAAGCCAGAATGTGATACGTCGTGCAATGAGATGGAGACCCTCATTTTAGTCCAAGACTCCTTCACTCCATGCTCCTTCATGACCCAAAAATCATTGTATCTTTGGCCATTAGCATCACAACCATAATGTATTACGCATAACCATTCTCTGAAAACCCCTAGCTCTATCATATAAATTCCTTCATCAATGGCATGTTCATGCGGCAGTGGAATTTCTCTAACCTCCTCCTTGTCCAAAAGGAGGGACATAATCGTGGAGGAAAGCTCATAATCATCTTTATTCATCAGCCAATGGAGATCGCCATTCACATGGATCCCAAGCCTAGATTTGCATGAGACACAATTGAAGTCTTGACGAATCACTCGCCAATAATTGGTTTCTAATGTGTAGACACAAAACTCAATCCCATGATCTCTATTGATCCGCCCACAAACCACCTTATGTTCATCAGTGGAGTGATCAAATCCAAACCCGCATAAGCTCGAATAGCGGTAGGGTTTCGGTGTCCTTGGTAGTATCTTGGATTCTTTGGTTGCAGGGTTAACCAAATATAAATCCCATCTGTCTAACTGGCATAGCAACAGGCCATTGCAGTGGCAAATCAAGTAAACCAAAGTTTCTCTGTGCATGCTATGAACAAAGGCCAGCTCAGTGGCTGCCACAAGATCATCCCCACCAACATTATCAACATGTTCATTCTTTAGATATGCATCATTACGATTGAGAAACTCATCGAGGTGCAAAGAGTAAAGGGATTTGTCTTCGTAAGCTGTAAGTATGACTGTTCGTCTTTGGTGCAATACATCTTCATTCTCAATGGCTTTGTTGAAGTGCACTTTAACAAAACTATGGTGGGAGAGGAGAGAACGCCATGGCTTCGACACGCACTTGAAGCGGCATAAGGACTTAACCGGTAGCCTTGCAAAAATCTTAATTATGATCTCGGATTGAAGGCCATTAGGGTTTCCCATCAACTGGCCATGGTGTTCCATCTTCTTGGCCCTATTTATTTACTATTTATACTTCAAAAACTAATTCGAAAAGCTTATATAGCCTGCAACATTGTTTGTGTATATGGATCAAAACAGAAAAACCCAAAAAAGGAAAAGTTATTTGGCTCATGAGCTTGATGGTTGCAGAAAGGGAGGTGGGGAGAGACAATAATGGAGCTAGATTGGATGAGAATTGGTCATCGGGGTTTTACCAGCATAAGTGGTCTTGGCTTGTAAATCTGGGTGGTTTCCTATCATTGTGGATCCAAGTGTGCTGTGCGATCATGACAATCCTTATGCTTAACCTCATCTCTAGGTGTCAATATATACATTTTGAGAAGTAATTAAGTTTGACTGTAAGATTCAACACATCTATGAAGAAGAAGAATACACATGATGCAGCAAGCGTCGTTTTTCAACATATTCAAGTTGTATCATTTTCTCGTGTCATGTAGGATTATGCTCAAACTCAACTCATTGACTTATCGTGCCCAAATATATGAACTCAAACTCATTCACAAATTTTGCGTGTCGTGTCATGTTTCACCCATTTGTGTTTCTCTTTATTATTTGTCAATCAAACACCAAAATGTGAAATAATTAAATACACAAATATTACCATAAAAACTTATGCTAAACACATTACATAACATACGTCCAATCATATTTCACCCAAAAAACATACATAAACAATAAGTTATAAGTTCCAATAGTTAAAAAAAGACTTCAAAAAAAAAAAAAAAAAAAGGTTTTTCAAAAAAGATAAAAACATATTTCACAAAAATAACGTGTCGTTATCATGTTTCAAGAATGAACACTGGTCAAACTCGTTAAATGTGTTAATATCATGTCACCTTGTTACCAACCCGACCTGATAAGGTTCGACTCGAACACGACATAAAAATGATTTGTGCTAGGCAATCGGTACGTAGGATGCTTAAAATCATGCCAACTGCTAAACAAAGTGGACAAACATAACTATTTCAAGCTTATTAAGTACATAAGAAACTCTAACAAAAGTTGTAATCACACTTGACCCACTTTATGGTTTCGAATAAAAACATCAGATTCCCAAAAAACAAATTGTTTCTTCAATATCTTGTACTTTTGTCAAAGACTGAGGATGTGCATGCACCAGGCACCAAAATACCCAGTTCATCCAAACGCAGAAAATACTGAGGGAAGGAGAGACAGGAGTTGGGAAGGATGGGGTATGAGAAGGCTCTATCATGTAAACCAGCAGCTGATAAGTTAAAACCGGTAGGAGAAACTCGGCCTAAGCTTTGAGCCTTTAGCTCGTCAAGAGTCAAAAACATTTGTAACGAACAACTTATGCAGCATAGTTTTACAACAGAATCATAACAAAACTTCATTACAACAAACGTTTTAAACTAATCTTTTGACTTTGCATTGGGTTCACTATTCTAAAATGATGTACAAAGAAAAACAAACACCTACTAGTATACAAAGTTTACATGCTATCTGATTGAAATTAAAGGTCTGCTTACTGATGTCGGTGATCGTTCTGCAATAGCAACATCACTGAATATCGTAAGCCTTGAATTGATGGAGACGATTTCAGAATTATGTAGTGTAAACCCATGAGGAAGTGGTAAAGGTAGTCCCTTCCAGAGGTGTAAATTCACATATGGCACCACAACAGTTTTGAGAATTGTTGACAATACGGCCTACAGTTAAAAAATCTTTCAGGTATTGACATCAAATGGAGCAATGGCTCTATAATAAGAGGAGAATGTACAGGAGAAGATAAATTAAATTTTCCATAAGATACATTGTCATAAAAAATACATGGGACAAATTTGACATAAAAAATGCATTTTAAAGTAACTGTTGTCTAGGCTCTAGTCTGTAGACTATGTACTAGAATTCAACTTAAAAATTTGTCACGGAAAAAAAAATTATAAACATTCTGCATAACATATCAAATCTCTTTTGCCCCGCAAGTTGATACGGGTTCATGAGCACTCAGAGTTGGGGCTCATTAACAAGTAATTAAGACCAAGAGGCCCAAAAATTCACCTGCGGCATATACTATGTCTCTGCACTACTTGATATAATAAGAAATGCTTATATTCAACTGTGATTGACAGGCTGGCTCCGTTAACAAAACCATATTAACAATGCTATGTGAAGTCACAGAGAAAAAGAAAAAAAGAAGAAGAAGAAAAACACTCTGTACAGTGCATTCGAAGCTTAAAACAATAATTTCAATAATTTCATGAAACAAAGGAATGTACCTGAACAAGATGCATGTGAAGGTTACCAATTTTGCTCCACTTCAAATATGCAGTAACACGATTCAATTTAACAGTACCAGCTAGTTTATTTATCAAGATATCTGGAGAACATGAAGCATGAATCTCCTGCAACAACAAAAAACGTATGGAAAATCATAATGAACAAGGCGACGTAAATGTGCATGAAACTAATGGGAGGATACAAACACTCCAAGGAAGCATACCAATGATATGCACGCAACTGGTATTACTTCATCAGCATCCATGACACCAATTGTCACATCAGAGTAAACAGTGATATTAATACCATTGTTAACAACTGTCATTATTGGTGGAGAAGATACAGATATATTAAGCTCCATATCTTCATTGGGATACTGCTTGTACAGTTGAGGAACAATGTATTTCCATCCAGCAGTGTTCAAAAGGGACTGATCTGGAGTTTTGTTGATCACCCATTGCATATAATTTGCCTAAACGAATACAAGGGGAAAAATAATATCTTAGTTTAGCCATGTACTTGAACTCTAAAATATAGAGCTACAAGGGTACAAATATGGCCAGGCGCAGGTCAGTTCGTTGTGAAATGGTGAAGTAAGATTTCGGTACACAGAAGTTTGACAACTATAGATAACATTATTGGAAGAAGAATGAAGCGAATTTCCAAAAAGGAATAAATGAATGATTATTGTTTAGTATTATCTGGAAAAAAAAAAAAAAACAGAGGTGAAAAGAATAAACTTACATTGAAGAAAACTAAGGACACTGAGCTAAAGACATTTTCATGCAATGATATCTCAACCATCTTAGCTGGAGCATTGAAGGGAACAGGATCTAGTGAACCTTTATTGTATAGGCTGGAAGCAAAATCATCATTGGGAGCCATGAATAGACCATTGATCTGAAATTCAATGGAAGAATTACTGAATACAGGATTGCCCACAAATGTAACATTCAAAGCAGCAATATCATCCAGTGCGATTTGTTTCGGAAGTGATTGCAGTAAGGAGTCAAGCTTCATTATTCCTTCTCTGATTTTCTTGGAAATATTGTCTTCAACTGCAGAAACTATTTGACCTTCAAAAGCATCCACTAACCTGAAAGAGAATGTCAGAGGATCAACTGCAAAATTTGGGGTCAGAAAAAAGATTTTAAACATATGGGTGGACCTTAAGTGGCCTTGGTTGATATAGATGCAGATCCAACTACAAAAATTGGGAACAGGGGAGGGGGTATGGAACGACCTTTGACAGAAACAAAGAGGCACATAAGTCTTTCTCATAGCAAAGTTGATTAAGAGGATTGCATACCCTTGGTAAAGCCAAGATGCTCCACCATCTAACTTAATGGAGATATCTTTCACATAGCATCCGCATTCCAAAACAGACAGCTTAAGAGTTCCTTCTTGGCCATTCAAAGCAAAGGTAGCACCCACTTCCATACCTTCAACCTTTTTCAGAAGCAACACCACTTTTTAACAAGGTAAAATCAAACAAATTGGGGGAAAAGAAGATTAAGTTTGCTAAGAACATTGTATCTTAGTTTAATTGATTCCATCCTCTACCTCTTTCCTTTCAACAATTCAAGCTCAATGGAAATTTCTCATGACTCAATGATTTTGGAACGCACATAACATAGTACTGCAGCTCATTACAGCATTTGACCACAGAAAGTTCACCATAACTGCACTTTTGTTTAACTGCATCATAATTTCATTTTCTATTCTACTTAACAAATTTGTTAAATTGACTTATGATATGAAATTATGGGACGTATCGATTAGAACTCATCAAAAGAAACCAACATGAGACTTCCTAAGGATTCTAACTCATAGACTTAAATTCATTTGACACAGATCTTGATATTTGGAAACAAGACAGCTCATGCCACTCCAAGTTGGTCACTTCTCACTGTTCTCAAGAGGTAAAGAAAATGCAGAAAATGGCTAGCCAAGGGGTTGTCAACTTATCAGAGGCCTATTGGTTGCATTAAATCTATGTCAAGTCTAATTAGAAGTGAAATACCATTTTATCACAAACAATGACAACCCAGAAAAAAGAACAAGGAAAGAACAGCTTCATCTACTTCATAATTCAAATGCCATTAAAGCAAGATCAAAGCAAAATAAAAGGGAACAAAAAAGTTTATAAAGAACAAAGAATAGCCTTTCTAAGTTGCTCTGTATACCTGAATGGAGGCGTCCCCATGATCTGAAATATCAAATAACCAAGTGCTATAAGAATAGCACCAATCCATACTCAAATTTGCCGTGGCTCCTGAAGCAATTAAAGCAATACCTGAGTCACCAGTCACCACATATGAAGAGGCAATATCAACATTATAGATTGTGATATTGGACAAAACAACATGAACTTGGCCAACAAGTGGGATTTTCACAGACTTTTCAATCTGAGGCAGTTGAAGGGGGATTATAGAGGAAACAGCCTGCTCTATTAGCAAGTCCTTGGAAAACTCAAGACCCTTGCTGGATATGACAACAGATATGAATCCTTCTTCTTGGGCTCTTGGAGGAACAAGCAAAAATGATAAAACTATGAAGAAAATAGCAGATGCCATGAACTTTGTGAAGGAGCCCATCTCAGAAAACAGTTAGATTAAGCTACTACATACAGCATGCACCATGGAACTACAGAATTGCAAAGAGCATGGTCCTTTCGAAACTTGGAGTGAAAAACAAAAAAAATTCACAAAAAAACCAATAACCCAAATGAAAAAACAAGTCAAATTTCAACACGGGCCATGGGAAACTCAAAAAACAAGAGAAGAGGA